GCCATTAATGCTAGAATCTCATTGCCAAGAATTAACAAATCTACAGCTAGCTTGACTCCTCTTCCTTCCAGGACAGCAGGTGACTGCAGCCATGGAAACCCTTCTGTAGAGAGGAGCCTGTCCTTGGGAAATACACCTGGAATGATACAGAAGGTGAAGCAGCTTTCAGAGCCCAGTCTGCACACAGCCCTACGCACCATCACTGGCTTGGAAGCAAGCGGGTGCATGAAAACTAACCACAAACTCAAGGCGGATGATCTATATACATCCTGCTGCTTACGTTCACATCTCTGAAGATCAGTAATGAGGTAAGAAGGCACTAGGATCACAGACCCCAGGGACTAAAGCGCTTCTCTATCATAGTTCTTGAAGGAGGTCTACTAAGATTTCACAAGACTACACTCACTGCCAGCCTCATCCTCCTCCTCCAAGGGAGGAGATCTGCCTTTACACCTCCAAAGCTACTGTAGAAGATGATTCCCCCCCAGGGCACTGCAGGGGATGGGCAGGTAGGTGTCCTCCCTCTCAGCCACTTCTGTTCCCTCACTAACCCTCATCACATGGATCGACTCTCTGTAATTCCTGCAGAAGATCAATCACAGTCAGGCTGGGTAAGAAGTCTGGGCAAGGTCGGACAGTTTTCATCTCAACAGCCCAAATCCCCACCTCCTCACTGGCCATAACAGCCCTTCCTGGTCAGGAACGAGAACAAAGAGACCAATCCTCAGGGCTTCCAGCCCCGGGCACTTGCAGAACCTCAAAGATCATAATGTGCTCTTTGCATTCTACAATCTGGAAAGCCAATTTTCAAAGTCTTCGGTTGCAATAACCCTTCAGATGTTGGACCAAGTCAACAGTCATGATAAAGGAAAACACTGAAAACCCCTCACCTGAAGGGTGAAGGGCTGAAGGATAGAAATCCACAGGGGCGCGACTCTGGGCCATGCGAGGGTCCATATAAGAGGGCATCATCATCCAGCGAGGATCAAAGCCAAGCATCTGGGGGTGTGGCGGGTAGAACGTCCGCTGCGGATGGGAATGGGATGGGGGAGGATAGACTTGCGGCTGCTGCCAGTGCTGCATCTTGTACAGCTGCTCCTGCAGGGAAGAAGGATGGGCCCTTTTGACATGATCTGTCACGGTGCCAGGAATCACACTTGCAAACTGGCCAGGCCAAAAAAAAAAAAAAACAAAAACCACAGTTAATGCGTTAGAGGCTCAAAAAACAAGTAAGAGGGGCAGGTAGACAGACAAGGGCAATTCACTACCAACTGGGAATGCAGCAATTCGTCGTTATTCTTTAAATACCCAGGACACGGTAAACGCAGTCAGGATGTCATGCCATTGTGCACCAAACTACATGGCTGAACACAACGGATCAGCTTCAAGATGGGAGCTCACATTTTCCTCATACTTCAATGAGATACAGGACGGTTTCCTGTCAAACACGATTTACTAATAGGAACTAAATACTTTAGATGACGTTGCTCTTTGGAGGAAATGCAATTAAAGGTATTAGTGTGCATATATGTTAGTTCTCCTCATGTTAGTCAGACAGATTAGATAAAAACATCCTAAATTCAGTTAAGAAAAAAATATATATATTTTGTACTATTTCCTGTGCATCCTCCAGAGACGAGGAGCAACCCAAGGGTGTCAAGCCCATCTCCCAAATGGCCAGTTTACCTTCCTTTAGCAGGGGACTGTCATGGATATTAATCTGATCTGACATTTAACCTTTTCCAAAGGTCCAAGAAGAACCTACATGTGAAAGGAGTTTTATGTACTGGAGAAAGCTTTCAAAAGGTAAACAGCTCCAATTAACATGAAACGCATCTATTTACCTGTCAAGCTTGCCTCCGTTATTTTCTTACTAAGCTTACAACAGTGTCAGATACTCTAAGTGTTTACAAAAAAGCCAATTCCCTACGGCAAAGCAAGAAACAAAGCCTTAAATCTGAACTTGACACATCATTATAGCAAGAGAGAAACTCATCAGATAAACGCAAAGATTATATCTGGGTTATCTAGTGCTCTAGGATCCAGGAGAAAATACTTCATTTATGCCACCAACACTATTTTTTATTTTGTTCTTCTAATGGAACTATTGCTACCGAAGTAGCAATGTGAGCCAGCCAAAACACAAATTACCTCATACATACTAACGACACAAACGATAAGAGAAAATAAAATGAAAATTTCATGTTCTTCCAGTAGCAATGACCTCAGGTATTATTAGCATGACAGCAAAGACAACCAATTATTTTTAGTTTCAAAGCATCTCTTTGATAAAGTAACATTAGCAACATTTGCTGCTGTACCTCTGAATCATCAGCACGTCTGAGAACGTCAACTGCCCAGTAACAAGCATAGAGGAACAGCCATAAAAGAGCAATTACTAAGCTCCCAAGCAAAAGCCAAACGCGATCTCTTTGCTAAGGTTTGCGGCAGGGTTGATTATATCACATTTCAAGTGGTCATTCTATAAGGAATGTCCCTTAACATTGTATTATCTCAAGCCTGGATATTCTGCCCCTTGGCTTCACTCTGCTGTTCCAAGGAGGCCCACTGCAGCTGGAAGAAGAGCTGGACAACATGCACAATGACACATAAAGGATTATAAAGCTGGATAAGATGCAAGATGTATAAAGCAGTCCAGGCTGGTCTCTCCCCAAAGGAGAGCTCGCAGTGAAATAAAAATGAAACACTTAAAGACTAAACACACATTTAAGGTACAAAGAGAATAATGCTTTGGAAGAGCCTCACAGAAAGAAGGGTTGTGTAGAAGAGGAGAGCAGATGTGAAGAACCACCTCTCTACAAAGGCAGGAGGAGGTAAGAAGTGTGCCACTTCACACCCGTCATGTTCGGCTCAGCAGTAGAGTTCAACCATCTGCCAACCTAAGCACAGTTTGCCCTTGGCTGGCGAATGGCTGCCCACACTAACAGGGTTAGAACACAGCAAGTGCAAAGCCAGATGGAAGCAGATGATCCCAGAAGGGTTTCAGCCCAGCAATCTCCTTCTCCTTTGCCTTTATATTCAACACCCTGTTACCGCAAGTGCTAAAGAGAAGAAGCTCCCATCCTGCTCAGGGGAGTAGGCACAGATGTTCACCAGGGTCACTGCCAGCCAAGGGTGTTTGACACTGCTGGATCAAGCCTACTGCAAGTAACACAGTACCCACTGCTGCACTTTTGACTTTGGGTGTGGGAAGGGGAGTGTCCCCAGCTCCCCCTATAGACACGTTTGTTTGCAAACCAGAGCTCTGCTACAAACCACACAGTCCTAAGAGGATATCACGTTGTCAGCAGACGCCGAGAGAAGCGTGCCAGACCAGCTGACATTTCTGACATTTTCTACTTTTCTACCAGGCAAGTGGCAGATCTGGCCTGCCCGAGTTTCTCCTCAGCCACAGAAAGCCCTAAGCACAGCAGCTCTAGCACAGGGGAGTGCATGTAAGATTCATGTAACCTATGATGAGACCTTCTACCCTACCACACAGGAGGTATCTGTGCTCAACAATACAGAAGGTGGCTGGGGTGGGGGGGGGCGGGGGAAATCCCATTTGTCACCTCCCAGCCCAGAGAGGGCTGGTTAGTTGGTGCTGATTGTGTTGGGAGCTGCGCACATGCAATTGTTGCGTGGGGGTCCGAGGGAAGAGGGGAGGGAATGTCAACACCTCCTACCTGCTGCTGTTGCTGCTGCTGCCTTTGGAATCTGGGGGGAAGAGACTTCTGGTATTTGTTGAACTCCTGTGCTGGGGAGGGAGCTTCTCTAAGCTCCTCCTCACTGCTGCTCTGGGCAGCTGCTGCTGGGGCAGGAGTCTCTTCTTCTAGGTAACCAACAGAAACATCCTGCGTGTGAAACTCCGGGGTTGCTGGAGAGAAGAAAATAAACCTTGATGAGCCCTGCTCATGACAGCACTACACAGCTGAACTTTCTTACAATCATACAGAGAGCACCTCACACAATCCCCTGGAATTGCCCTGACAGTTCTAAAAAGCTTTTCATTTGTTTTTGTGATAAATTCCAATTCCCCTCTGCTATCAGCCTTCTGCTTAAGCACCGGGGGAAAAGAGTCTGCTTCCCCTCTTAACACTTTAAATCCACCAGCACTGAACGATAACCAATTTCCTGCATTGTGAGCAGGAGCACTTTCTTAATAGCACCATCCCAACCCCAAGAAGATCAAGAGGCCAGTTCCAACAAGGGCTCCACTAACACTCCACTAGCAGAAAGGAGCTTCTCTCTCAAATGCAACTCAAGCACCCTCCAACTGCTCCCTCCCAGCAACTTCACCACAGCTCTAAGAGATCATCGCACCAGTAAGAAAGCAGCTTTTACAAGATGAGGTTAGCACCGTTTCTGTACCTCTACGGAAAACGTGGCCATTCTCTTGCACAACGTTCTTCTCTCTGCTTGGGGGCCTCAGATCTTCATTCTCTGTGTGTTTCTGGGTCTCCCCACTCTTCTGAGCCAGTTTGCATTTCTGATCAAGTTGCTTCAGCTTCGCAGCGCAGGCTGCCAGACGCTCCTCCCTGGCTCTCCGCTCTTCTTCCTCTCGTCGCCTCCTGGCTCGCTCAACAGCCTCCGAGATCTCCGAGTGCACAAACTTCTGTCTTAGTGGTACCTTTTCGTCTTTATCTTCAAAGGACTGCTGTCTGAGAATACTTCCCAGTGTGGGCTTCTGTCAAAGAAGACACATTCCCCAGTAAGCACGACCCAAACATCTCCTGCATCTTAAAGCTTTGCTCTGCTAAGAAAATCTCCTCCATTCTCATGCACACAAACCCTCCTTTCAGTGAGGAGTTATTTCGATTCGGTTTGAGATCTCCTTTTGCTAACTCTTTGACAACCCCACTGTTCTGGATCAGTTTCAATTCCTCCTCTCTAGTGGGAGTGCTGTGCAGGTGGATTTCCCTCCAGCTGGATATAAACAACAATTGAGTAATTCATCATTAGCCCCTTATCAGTGAAATGCCAGCCTGGCCTCTTAAGGACAGCAACATGTCGCCTCCAGCAGCCCAGCAGAACGAGCCCACCCACGTTAGTTCAACCTACCTGGTATTCAGATGCAGAGCTCCAGCCATTCAGCTTCCTTGGAGGCTGCTGTGATTCCTGCACCTTCCGGACTGGCCTGGACAGGCCAACTGAGTCGCCCCAGTTCTTTCCTTCCTCCAAGGTGTGTTTGACATCTGCGCTGTCTGCAGAGCTCAGAGACAACTGTCGCTGCCTTCTGGGATCCCAGCTGTTCCTGCCATATAAACAGCTTTGCTTTATGTTTGCAACTTGCCTCAACAAGCGTTTTGCACTTTTATTCATTAAGTGGCAAAGGCAACTGACTGTAACGGAACGAGAGGATCCAAAATAAAAAATACCAACCCAAATCATATGCTTTTTCCTCCCAAGGTGCTTAAGGATTAGCAAGGCCATTGCGCAGAAGGATAAGGTGAGATCCAGAAAGGAAAGCAGGAAAAAAAAACGGCACCCACCTCCAGGACCTATGCACATCATGGATACCCACTCAAAAGATGGCAGGTGGAATCAGTAACATCACATTATGAATCAGAGTAGGCAAGTCTCAAGATTTAGAACAAAATTTTAAGAGATCCTAGTAGTTTTTACATTTATTAAAACAACTGTTGTTGTTTTAATACAGCCACTTCTTACCACTTCTGTCGTCCATCTTTAAGAGCTTCTTCTTCTTCTTCATCTTCACTAAACTTCAGCTTCTCTGAGTAATCCACTTCATCGTGAATGCCTGAATGGCACAATTAAGAGAAAGGATATAAAGTGGAAAGAAACAGGCCCTGCCTTATCCTGATAAGCCTTCTGCCTTCTCTGGCACTAAACCAGACACTCTTTGGAAAACTGAATGTCCAGTGCAGCAGCAGCTCAGGTTCTGGAAGTGATGCGGATGGTGGGGACCCACCCACACTGCTGATCAGCTGGGCTGATCCCAGAAGAGGAGCAGCAAAAAAATCTGGGAACGGAGGCTGCAAATGAGAGCAGACAGCCACCAAGCAAGACCACATGTACCTGGATTCTGAATGCCATGACTGAGAAGGTGCGACTAGTTCTCCTTCCCAGCAGCCATGCTGCTGCCTTCCTGCTAGAGTCTTCAGATCCAGTTCCTTGAGTACAGCGTGGTGGAAGGATCAGAAGGATCCATTGTGTCATCATTTACACCAACAGCAACTTCACAACTGCACAGGCAACTCCCCTCCTCCTTTTTGGGGCAGCAGGACAGAGCCACTGGCACATCCTGACTGTTTTGGGCTGAGGGAGGAACAACTGCCCTTCGCTTCCTAAGGTGTTGCTGCTACCTGCAGCTAGAGGATGGAGGTACTTTACCTGCCCATCCATCATCCGCGTCAGTGTCAAGCTCATCCAACCCTTTCAGGTTCTCTGCGTTGATAATGGTGGGCCGGGGCGCTCTCTCTCCTAGCTGCCGAGCTGGACGCGCTGGGCGAGACAGACCAAGCCTGTTCTCTTTTCTACAAGGAGACAAGAAGAAATGTTTAGAAACGGCAAATACCAGTAAGTAGACAAAGGAACACAGAGCTGAGTTTAACAGTGAATCAGTCCTTTTCTACCATATATACACACGGCCTCCGAGTAACTGCCCCATCCAGTAAGGCTCCTCTCCCGTGTACCCGGTACCCACTTTCTGGAGCTTACACATCAGAGCTCCTATCGTTACAGTCTAGGATCGCACACAACTCCTCCTCACATCCACCTGCTCTTCAGACACAAAGTGCTGATAGTCCCACAAAGTTTCAGATGCTGCTGATTGTTTGGCTGAAAGCAGGCCTCCTGTGTGGCTGTCTACAGCTTCACCCACAGGACTGGATCCTTCGCCCAGGTTCTTGCCCAGCGTAAGGTTCGTGTCCCACCCTGAACCTGCCTCTCAAAAGGGACAGTCATGGCATTCTTACCCATCCTGGTCATTCATCTGGTATTGTCTGAAAGGGACCCGGGGCTCAAGCCGGAGCTGAGGAACAGGGAAAGACCCACGGTCCAGCGATGCAGGGGTCTCAGATGGCTGCTGTGGACACATCTGGAACACAGCAGAGCAGAACAGCCAGTTTTTTCTCTTTGCCATAGAAAGACTTAACCAGATTAGGTTATTACATGGCCACAGTAATTTCACTTCTGCCTGGCTAACAGACCCTACGCTAACGGTTACCCTCTCCAGCGCTAGAGGGAAAGCAGCAGCTTTCCCTTGGGCTGAGCAAGGCCATGGCTATTTCATTTCTCCTTGGAGCACATCAGCGCTGCACGACTCTAGCAAGAAAGGGTAAATGCGCAACAGGGGAAACTAAAAATAGATCAAGGAAAGGATCCCTGAGCTAGTCTTGGGAAATAACTGAGGGAAGAACCTGGAAATCACCTATCTCAGCTGACTTCCTCAACCCACGCTCACATTACGAGCAAGGACATTATACAGTCGTGGGGACAGGGCAACTTACAAAAGCAGGTAGCATGTCATGGTACGTAGGCGGTTGGTACACGTTTCCCATGAACTGCGAAGCCCCTTTACGAATAGGCTGAGCTGGGCGGAGAGACGGCTCCTTCAAGTCGCTGGCATTCACTGAGGAGGGGGCTCCGTCTCCAGTGCTAGAGGTCTTGCTGCCCAGCTCAGCAGGGGAGGCGGTCAGAGATGTGGCAGAGGTTATATTCCTCCCACCGCCCTCCCTCCAACTGGTGACATCTGGAAAGGAGGTAATACACACGTTAGTATTTGCTAATGCAGATGGTCACTTAGCCAGAAAATCTCCACGCTCAAATGACTCCGGCCAGTCCCTAATTAAACTGAAAACATGGAAATACATCAGGGACCAAGGAAAGCTTCCAACTGCATTTTCTTTCCCAAGAGACTAGCAGCATCAGCTGTTACTAAGTAAATACTGCACCGGTGGCATCAAGGCCCTACTTGTCAACAGGCCCAAATTCCTACTGACAACAACTCTGCAACCCATCTCCGCAGTACTCATCCTGCGGAATTAAGGGTAATCTAAACCATGCACAAACACGCAACAAGAAGCCACATTACACCATTTGCTCATGCCCCTCCCCCCCTTCCCAAGGGGGAAGGGCCTGCTTTCCAGCATCACCAGATTAACTCACAGAACACGGCAAACCCTCTCCCCCTCCTGCACACAGCATTTTTTTTATGAAACAATACAGTAGAAGGCAGTCCATATACAGCTGTCTGGACCACACAACTCAGGCAGTAAACACCAGCAGTACACAAGAACCTGCAGTGATTTGCTAAGCAACTCGGGACACAAGAGCTCATAAAAAGAGAGAACGGGAATGCAGGGATGGAATATCTTGACACTACTGCAGACTGGCTAGCTTTTCCCCCTGCCCAAAACATGATTTAAAAAGGGTTATGAGCTGAGGTAAGGACAAAAAGATGCAGTCATTCACTTACTCTGAGGGCGGAGGCTTGGTCCTGGCCCATACGACGGATCTAAGGCGCCCTTTTCTTTGCCAACCTTGTCCTGCTCGCCAGCTGCTTTCAGCGTCGGAAATTCCTCGGGAGAGAAGGATAACAGTCGGCTTGAGGCCCTTGAACCTGTCAGAGAAACAAGTGTGGGACTCACGAGAAGATCTTTCCACTGTTTCAATTTCATTGCGAGATCAGCCTGGAAACATGCTTCCTGAAAATCTGGGTCTCCAGCATATTCAAGCCTGAGTTACTATCATATCAGCTCACGTCGAAACACTCCAAGACACTGTAACCAACACAACAACACGTGTCCTCACCAAGTACTCCCACACTCTTAACTGTTGAACATGACAATTTAAATGAAGGTCCTCAAAGTCACAGAATGAACTTTCTCAGCTTCCAATTATCTTTGCACAGTATGAAATTCAGAATGAAGCAAGGATACAAACTCTACAAGATCACTTTATGCTATCCTGCTATCGAGCGTTTGACATTTCTATTCAGACTCTCTCTGCTCAGATCTCACTCCACTGGGGAATTTTGTGAAGATTTCTGGGAATATACTCAGTGAAAGACCATAGATAAGCACTGAGTGCTATATACTATACCCCACTATCCTCACTGCTGCAGCATTTTTAAGATACAGATCCCCGGCCGGATCTGGCCAGGTTCGTTTCTTGCCTTTGGCAAATTGTCTTGCTGAGTCATCAGCCACCCTAGAATGACAGTTTTTTGTTTGTTAAAAAGATCTCACAGTGACTGAAAAACAGAACATAGCAATGACTCCCCCAGATCTATCAGCAAGATAACGTTGAATAAAAGGAAACTGCTAGCGTTATTGCACCACTCAACATTAAAACATAACTGCCTGCTTTAAAAACTGCTTTTAAGTGTTACTTGGCTAATGCTCCTTTTAAAAGGAGCATTTCAGAATTACCATGTTACAAATGTCATCAGTGATTACTGAAGATCTGACCAGAAAAAAAAGAAATCATCTATTTTCACCCATTCTTGCCTTGAAGAGTCAAGAAGGACTGGCTCCTTTAGTAATTTTCATTTTCTGGAACTTGAAGATAACACCTCCATAACATCCTGTGTATAACATCTACAAATATCTTGGACAGATGAGAACACTAAGAAGGGCAGTGCTCAAACACCATCACAGCTCAGATATTGAGTATGCCAGAATTCTGAATTCTTCTCCATTACTCTACTGAACTAGAATGGCAATGACAATATCAAGGGCATTGAAGCATCCTCCAGGGGAGACTTCCCCCTGCATCCCTTGCAAATAAAAAAGTTATCTTTTCCCCTTAAGATAATGCTGCACAATGGAACGATTGCTAATGTGCAGGCGTTAACAACTTGCACTCTAGCCCTAGGCTTCGTCACACTGAGAAACAAGTGGTGCATCTTTTTTCTCAAAGTGTCCCTTATGTGCAGGAAACAGGCATGGAGCAGCTCATAACTAATTTACTGGATCACACTACTTCAGGATAGTCCATCGACATTTTAACAGAAATGACACCTAAAAGGGAACAAAAAAGCAGAAGACTTTGGTCTTTGTCCATAATACTAGAAAGCGTTATACCAGCTTGAAAGGAAAAGCAATTGTTCGATGCCACTGCAGAACAGGTGTGAGGATGGGATGGCCTAAGTAGCCCTCTCAGTCAGATTTCTGATGCTTCTGTGATTCAATTACCTTCTAATTAAGCTGCTCTTGGCCACATACGCAACTCTTTTCTGCGGCCGAGACCTCTATACTGATAAGAGCGTGACCTAGAATGAGTTTTCAGAAAATCTTTAAGAATACTGTTAGAGGATCAGATTTGAAACTGACTGTACAGGAGGTCCGTATAGCAAGTCTCAAAAAAGTACCAATTAACCAAGCGAGAGACAGTCTTTGCACAGGCCACCAAACTTCAGGCGATCACAAGTCTCTGCTTTGACATTTAGCCTTTGAGAAACATCCTCTCATTAAGAGACTCATTTAATTGAGGATAAACTTGTCCCCTCCATTTCCGCATTCTGCAGCTGTCTCCGTTCTCTCAAATCTCTCTGCAATTTCACTTGATGACCTAGTGGTTCCAGGTTTGTTCGCATTAGAGCAGTGGAACTGAGCTGTTTCACTGCAGTCTAAATGACAGAACTCGCTGCAGCTAGAAACCACCTTCTGTGTAGAAATGGATGCATCCAAAGACAAATAAAAATCCCAATCTATGTTAACACTGCTCCAGGATCCTCAGTCAAGCAGAAGCCATTAGCAACACAGTGAGTCAGTGAGACTTAATAGAAAGGCCTCGGTCACGGTGTAAACAAGGGGATCCTGCAGCATCTTCAATGCCATTTCCACCAGCTGACATTTTAACACCCTTGGCCCAAAGATGCTGTGTATTATTGTTACAGCCTCACTTTTGACCACCTCATTCAGTTAAGCTCCCCATGCTACTAGCCATGGAAATGGCTACATCTCCAGTCTCTCTCATGCACTCCCATCTCCTTCCTTCTCTTCTAAACCAATTCATCTCCCCTCCTCCACTCCGTTTTCAGCACCTCTTTACACACTGCTCAAGGCTGATGGAAGCTGCTTATGAGGGGTCAAATGTTTCCCTTCTCCAAAGCCTTCAGCCCCCAGGACTCCCTGCTTCCCTGCTGCTACCAAGCCAAGTGCATGAACCATTCTGGTTCAGAGTGATGGGACACATTCTGTTCAATTCGTGTCTTGCACTGACAGACTTAAACTGAAGCTGTTGCATTCCTCCATCCAACATGCTGCACGGATGCAAAAAAAGCTGTGTTCTCTATGTCTTACTGCACTATAACCAAGACGATCGCATCCCATTCTGTACCAGTCCAGACAGGGAGGCCAGGAGAAATGGAGTCCACCCCCCTCTCTTGCCTGTCTGGAAGAAGCAAGCACATACGCAACTCCATTTCTGTTTTATCATACTCACCACCTTCTTGTCCTGCTGGCTTTCCATTCAGCTGTGCCCATGACTTTGGTCCACCTGGCACTGAATTTGTGCTCTGAAAACAGAACAAAACCCCAAAAAAAAAAAAAAAAACCCAACAACCCACAGATCAGTGAACTTCCATGACTGTTCCTCATTTCCTGGATGCCACCTACTAGGGTTCAGACCTTTAGGTCACCCAGATGGCACTGGATACTACAGGTCTCCCCAGCCTCCTGCTGGGACTGAAGCCAACTGATCTCCACTCCAGCGCACTACATATGCTACAGTGAAAATCCTCCTCTTCTCTGCCCTGTCTCTGATCTCTCTTCCTCTCACCGCCTTCATCATTTCCTCAAACCATTCCTCTCACTTTCTTCCCTCTAATAAAGCTTTCCCTTTGTTCTGCCACATTCTCCCAAATAGTCTCTCTCTGTCTTCTACATTTCGTCCATGCCACGCCTCAGCTTGGAGGCTACCCTACTTTCTCATGCATGAACCACTCTTTTCCTCTTCAGAGCATAACTCCTTTCCTGATTTCCCTGAACCTCAAGGGAATTTTTAGTTAAAAGCGTGAAATCAGCAGCACAGAGGGGCCAGGTCCCTGCACTCTCTGGGGAAGCTTTCTTACTTGCCAGTAGTTTTTTCAGGTCCTGACACTGGCTACTTCTCCCACATGACCAGATCTCTTCTTATCAAGTCTCATCAGGCCTTTGGCTGGGAGCAAGAGCCGGATCTGTTGTCACCAAGCGACACTTGAATTAGACCCAAAATAAAATAGTTTACAAGTGCTAACCAGTCATCCCGCATTCCAGCCATTCTTTCTAGATTGAAGCTAGACTTTCCCCATAGGCTTGAAAAGTACAGAGGAAACGTGCACAGAATTATACTCTAACCGCAGTACAGCATTCCTGGGGCATAGTGACTTGGAGTCAAGACAGGCTATTGTAAAAAGAATTGATTATACAGGAGCTGTTCTGTAAATCACAACCTGCCAATTCTTACTTGCACGGGGCAATATTGACAATTAAAGGAAACCCTCAGGCTGCCTGGGCACAGGGGGAAACACGGTGGTGGTTACAGAGACTGCTTGCGCCTACCTCCTGACTGATTGACTGTGTCAGCTTCTGTAAATTGGAGACAGATTTCTGCAAACCCTGCTGCGGCAGCGACTCCTGCAGCTGTGCAGCCGTCACACTGGAACTGGAAAGAGACAGCAGAGGTGAGATCAAAGGGGAAGAGAGGCAAGACGAGAGACAAACAACTCTGGCAACATAGCCATCGCTAAAAGATCCAGCTAACACATTAGCTCAGCACTCACTCAGACAACAGAGAACTCCTGATCCCTGTAAGGTCCAAGACACAGCCCAACAGTTACACAACTGCTGCTGCGTGCCTGACAAAATTCCAAGAGCAGCTCTGCCTACCTCTTTTGGTCTGGCTGATCCTGCTTGTTTGCCCATCCTGTACCGTCCTTGGGTACTATAATGATGTTGGGGTCGTTTCCTTTGTTCTCAGACTTCAAGCTAGGCAAGTTTGCAGGAGGTGGCATGCGCCGAGCAGCAGCAACTTTCCCAAGACTCTGTAAGCCATGTCTAGGAATAACTAGCGAGAAAAGAACAGGGCAGGTCACAAGAGGGCTAGATCCTGCTAGCTAAGCGACCTCAATTAGCATACTGTGGCTGGAGGCAATCCCAACAGAAATGTACAATAAGCGGCGCCACTACTGCTACTCATGACACCGAGTTGACATAGATCATTACTTGCAGGACCACTGCAAAGCAGCTTTCTCTGTCATAGCAGCCAGCTGACAGGCAGCCTCCTACAACAGTGAGGAGGGAGATTTGGGCCAAGGAAACGGAGGCAAAAATTCTCCCTAATTTAGAATGCCCAGTCTCTTTAGCTACCTGTGCAGATACTTCTCTTCCACTTCACAAAGTAGAATCACCACGTCCCTTTCAAGGCTAGGGAAAGTGGCAATCCAAACTCATGTATTAGGAGATGGACTGGAAACATAACCCTGGAGTCCTGGATTCTAGGCCTTCCATCTTGAGCCACCAGCTCACATTCACTAAGCTGGTATTTTCTTCTGTTTTCTACTCCCATACCAATCCAGAGCCAGTCTGGACAATCTGTCACACTTCGCAGTCAGCTTAACTGCCCAGTCTTGGTATAGCCTCTCACCCTACGGAAGCTTTCACTCAAGTTTGCAGCTGGTCCACTTGGCAGCAAGGACACAGGCTAAACCACAGGGCCAACAGTTTCCCAGTGCTTGGCCACAGTTCTCCCATGTCTCTACAGTAACAGCAGCTCAGTAGCACAAAGAAGCACGGACATTTCCCTTGAAGCCTAACGTAACACAGGGCTGGATGCAGCTCTGCAACTCAGCTGCTTCCCACTGGACGTGCTACCCGCAGGGACAACCACCCAGATTAGCTCTGCGACAGGAGCCTTAGAAGAACCCAAAAGGAGCTTTCCCAAGGCACTCCTTACCTGTAGTTCTGATAGCTTCTATTGACTTTCCTTTATACTTATCAAACAGGCTGAGAGTCGAGTACTTGCTTTTCCCATCCTTTCCCTTGGTTATTTGCCCCAAACGATCGGACATTGCGATGAAATGTCATCTAGTAAGGAAATTTCTCTGCGCCGCTCCCGATCTGCCTTTTAATGAAAGAGAACCAGGGAAATGCCATCAAACAGATTATTTAGCCTTGGATAAGCGAAGAGTAAAACAGACGCACAACTGTTAGAACTGCAGACAGATTCAGTGAGCAGACACGCTAAGTTACAAGGTTTTAACCCCTTCCTCTTTAGCCACTGGAACGCTGTGGGATTTGAGATTCAGACGCTAAGTGAAATTAACTGCAGGAACACACTTTTGATGGCATCATTTCTTTCTACCACTCCAGTGCTGAAAGAAGTGAACTCCTTTAAACATGAGGAAACAAAAGAGGATGGTCAACATAGTCCTTGCTTTAAAAGAACAAGGCTAACACAAAGCAGGTAGACACAAGTATCCCCAAACGTAAATGAAAGAGGAAGGGCCATTTATTTGCAACACTGGAATTTATCATCAGATTTCTCACTAAAGTACTGGTAGCTGGGTTTGTTAGGTTCAGGATTATGGTTCCACGCTGACTACGGTTAATGACTCATGCCAACAAATAATGCTTTGAAAGAATCATCTGAAGGTAACTGAGGCACGCGTTTCTTCAAATTCCCTTTCCCAATCTGCTGGCCGTGAAAAAGAGACAAGGAGTCTACAAAAAAAGGTTCAAATGAAGCAGGTTCAGATTCTTGAACCTTGAGATTCAGTAGTCGTTCTGTGGGGCCTTAAAGCACTTCATGAAAAAAGATTGCACTTTCTCTCTGCTGCTGGCACCTTCAAACACTATTTTTTTAGCTCTAAAGGTACCTCTCACAATGGACGCGGTTTGTTAATTTTTCCACTCTGAGCTTTGCCCGGACAACAAACTGTGATTATCACCTTCACTCAAACAGGCAGTCTCTCTGCTTTCTTTTTGGCTCTCAGGGATTAGGACATTAGCTAAAACACGGGGAGAACAAACACTGAAGGGAAACGTTTGCCTCAAACAGAAAATAAGCCTTGCTTACTTTCAATAGATATTTGTTTTCTTTCATTTTTTTTAAAGATTAATTCACTGTTTTGTTTTCTCTAATCTAAACATTTAATCTAGCCTTTTAACACATAATATAGATTTCTTGTAAAATCACCACTTCAGGCCTAAAACTGCTGGCAGTTTTATTATACCATCTGCTAAGGTCCTATCCTACGGGTACAATTCCCTGTGTTGGCATAACAAGAGGCTATATATATATTATCGGACCGTCCCATCTTTCACCCCTTCCGAACCTCATTTGGCTGAGAGCACGTTTCAAATGCAGTCAGAAATCACTCATCACTCTTTCTGAAGGAGACTGTCTCTGACCAGAGGCTACAACTTCCACCAGCAATGCCTTATCAAAGATGATTTCCAGGTAGGAGGATTAGGCCATCACCATTATACATAAAATAAGCAGAGACCACAAACGCATGTTGGATACAGCCAGCTTGAGAACATGCTGCCACCTGCAACTGGTCAAGTACAGCCTATCTAAAAGCAACTGCCGGGGGCAAGTTTATGACCAATAAACCTGGCACCACGGATTGAATGTCCTGCATTACAGGATTTGAATCACAACTGGCAGGAGCAAGCAGCTCTGGAATCAGTGCACTAGACAGCAAGCAGCGGGGTAGGGGAAGAGAGGGAGAAAAGTATTTTCTGCCACTCCACAAGAGCAGCCATAGGTTGCTCAGGAAAAACACCAGGCTCCAAAAAAACCCCACAGCTGTCCTAGCCTGACTGACACATGGGGCTATAGCATGAAGGCTTGCTGAGGCCACAGGGCTGACCAGCAATCTCGAGACACCTTTTCCTGCAGAGTAGCAAACAGATCTCTGGCTCCAGCCTGGTTCACTCTTTGCTTAGATGGTCACCTTTTGCCAAAGAAAACAATAGCTTCTCCCTTAGTTCTCCGTTTCCACCGTATTTTATTAGTAAGACAGACATAAAAGAGAAAGGGAGAACAACACCGATTAGCACTGACCTGGCAGGAAAGGGGATGCTGGACTGAGAACAACGACCTGTTTGAACTGGCAGAGCCGTGGGGAGCCCGGGACTGGAGTGGAAGAGCAGAGGATGCTACAAACCAGTCCTGAGCTGCGCTGGCAAGAGCATGGCCACTGTTTTTGCAGGTATCTTAAACAAGAGCACTCAGTGGGAGTTTGCTTAGGGAGCACTTAGTGGGAGCTTTGCTTGCCCCACACAATCCCAAGCAAGAAAATCCATTTTGAGTTTCGGAAAACTTGAAACAACATACAAAAATTATCAGGTGTTACAAAAAAGGAAATGTTATATCACGTTCAGGAGTTGGCTGGTTAACAGAAAAGTCCCAAGTTCCTGAAAGTCAGCAAGCAAACAGCAAGCAGGGTAAAGCTGCCAAAGAGAAACCCTGACAACCAGTTATGTAACTGGGTCTTAGCTGCCTCTTGATTACATCTCATATCATTTAAAGGATGAGGATAGAGTAAACAACCACTTCAGAGCAGAGGAGGTGGGGACATGCTGAGAAAAAGCCCCTTGTCAAACTTTCTGGGACAGCCACCACTGCTGCCTGGACAAGCGAAATTCAAGGTGTACTTTGAACTCCCTTCAACGTTTTTAAGCTGAGAACCTGAAACACATCTTTGTGTTATGTCACCATCCGCGCTCCAAAGGGGAAAACACGTCCTCAGGGAGGTGAGGCATTATTATTTAAATAAGGTCACTGTGCAAAGAGCCAGCAGCAGCACTGGGCCTGATGAGAGCCACCCCACATGCAGGACCTTGCTGCCTGTCCCTCCCAACACCAGCCGGCTGCAGACCGGAGCCATAGCCCAAGGAGTATCAGGTAAGGGGACCATTCAGCATCCAGGTCACCCACAGCACTTCAGAAAGGCTACAAAGAGCTCCATCTCCAAAGGCTATCATGCCACTGGCCTACTTTCCCATCGCACAGCCAGACAGGGAATCCAGGCAGGGATCTTAAAGGCCTTCCAGTCTTGCAGAGTGAAGCCATGTCTGATAAAGTCAAGTTCGTTAAAAACTGAACTAGCATCCCACATGCTTGTTGTTAGGAGTGCTAGAACCAGAAGTCACCTGCCCATGCTGACATCTGCAAGTTAGATAGCCTCATCCAAGCCTCTGCTCAGACTCCTCAGGTCTGCTAGCTGCCCCTAAAGAAAGGGGTTACCTTTTCATTACAGAGAAATCAAGATCATTCTCACTCTCATTTCTCCAAGGTTTCTCTCCATGTTTATAAAGGTCTTTGGGGGCATGTCTGCCATCACTTTTAGCATGCAGCTTACCAGCAAGGCCTCCTGTAACATCCAGTGACGGTACCGAAGTGCAGAATACTGAGCGTCAAGGAGGAACCAGAAAATGCTGCAACGTAACCAGTTTTAGAGGTCCCAGGGTGCAAACAGCCGCACCACAATCGCTTCCTGGGCTAAGAGCTCTGCTGATCAGGAATCTTTTTACCCTCATCATATTGCTCTGGATTTAACGTGCAGGCACTGATCCTGCCTAACTCCCTTTTAAAGGGGTATGCTCTAATCCACAGAGCAAAAGCGGCCCTTTAAATGCCAGAGCATGCAAGTAAGAGCTACAGCAGGGAACCACCAAGCACAGGGAGCCTGTCCTGCAAAAAGCCAAGTGAAAAGCTTGAGTTACTGGCAATGGTAACAACTGGAAACCCTCTAGCTGAAAACAGAAAGAGAGAGACTCCTGACAAACGAGATAGATTTACAAAGCGCTTTGTAAATCTATGTACGGAGGAGGCCGGGCTGCTGGTGTTTTATTCACAAAACTTCAATTGAGCTTCAATACATGGAAGTTAGCCAGCCTTAATTGAGTAGGGTAAACAGATTTATGAAAGGTAACACACACACTGGAAGGAATCATTTCAGCTACTCACACACCACTGAGCCCTATGATGAGCAGTCACTTGGCTAAAAGACCCAAGACCACTACAGTCTCTGCTGCAAACCTCTACTCCTTACTCATTTTACAGCAGCAGTCTCAAACACAAAACAAAGCAGCAGAACGGAGAGGCCGATATTGAAAAAGCTTTTCTCCATAGGCAGGTAGATTTTTAACCTCAAGTTTTATTCACGTTGTTCAGAAATTCACAGGTTGCATAAACTGAACTGTATTTCCAGAAGAGAGAAGTAAAAAAGTGTTTGGAATTGATCCTAAACTGAACTCTATTATGGCTTCTAATGTTACTGGTCATGTGCAGCTTTTTTAAAAGCCGGTATAGTTTTACCAAAGATTCGTGGCATTCACTCTTCTTTAAATACTCATGCTCACTTTTTGCTAGTACTTCTCATAGCTAAATGCTTATCTGTCAACAGGGAGACGCGATCACTTCTCCTGGAACAAATCCCACCACGAATCACCCATTTGTGAAATGGTCGCCATCTGCCTCAGTGGCGAAAGATATCGCAGGCTGCCCTGAGAACAGCTTTGGTGACACAGTGTGACCAGCTGCCCTAGGGGCTTGGGGCCAGATACACTTATACCCCGTAGGAGCCCTGTTTGGGCCAGGCAGCAGGGATCATCAGCCTAGCTGGGAAGGCACTGAATAAAGCCTGATTCTTAGGCGAGAATGCAAGAAGTTAGTAAAGAGATGACCGACTGGAAAATATCAGCATCCAAGCACAAAGTCAGCAGGATCAAGGCAGAAGATCTGTGGAGAAGACAGAGGCTATAGCAGGGGACTAGGCCACAAGAAGTCCGTTGTTGAGGTTATGCTGCATTGTTTTCAGTGGGATGGGGAGCTGCTACAATTTGTTGGTACGCCTGAGAAAAGGGCCAGCTGAGATCCTGGATGTGGCACCGAATCCTGCCAGACTGGAGAGGCAAGTCAGCAGTGCAGGGAAGAGACGGACGCAAAGATGGCTCCTGCTTCACAAGGAAGGCCACTCCTTGATTACCTGAACAGGTATATTTGGCAGTACTCATTCTTTCATTTTGCACAATCCCAGCTTCTCTCTGCATCTCCCATGAATCTTCTCTCCTTGTAAAAACAGGCAGTGGGAGACCAGGCTTACATCTCCCAAGATTTATTGCAGAGGT